CCAACAGGAGACATGACTAGAAAAAATACTTCAAACTCCTAAAACTGCTTTTTTCTGTTCCACAAAGTGGCACAGGTGTTCCCAATCCATCTCTCACTAGGTAAACACTGTATTTGGGCTGTAATTTGTTTAGCAAACCTCCTGTTTCCAGCTGTAATTACCCCATGGAGGCAGCTAAATGAGGATAGCATTTCAGGTGACCTTCAGCTCCCAGCTGCAGTCACCCTCCCACGGGAGATGGAGCAGTGAGGGGAGGTAGCACAGGGCTCCCCAGGTGAGAGGGGCCAGGTGTTCCTCCAAAATCAGCCAGGTCCAGGCAGAGTGGGGATTTAGGGAGGGCAGCAGGCACAAACCCAAAATGTTGCATTTCTTTGCCAGGGAAAAGGCCACTGCAGTTGGTATTTCCTCAGCTGGGAGAGCTCAGGATGTGTTTCCTCATGGAAAATCCTGCAAAGCCAAGGTGTGTGAGGACACCACCCTGCAAGATGGTCCAGGCAGTGTAAATATTTTGGGATTCCTCTTGCAGAGGAATGGGGTTTTCCCCAACATTCCCTTGCCAAAGGGCAGAGATGGTGTTTTGCCTTGCACTGAGACACACAGTGCCCTTAAAATAACTGTACAAAAGGAATTTCCAGTCCCTTCCATCTGGTTCCTCTCCTGCTCTCCAGTTTTTTGCACCTTGCCCCAGGTGAGCCCATCCCAGTCCAACATTCCCTGCTCCCCCAGGCTCCCTGAATTCTCACCTTCAATCCAAATCTATTTTGGGGGATTTTCCACTGGTTTTCCATCCAGCCTCTCACCTGCTCTCTGGCTGTCCCCAGCCCTCCTGGTGCCTCCTCCTCCAGGTCTGTCTGCTTTCCCACTCCACCCCACCCTGCCCAGCTGTTTCTGTCCCAGAGAATCTCCTTTAACACCCCCATGGCAGAGCCAGGCAGGACTCTGGGCCTCCTGCATCAAACTCCTGCCACTGTGAAGCAAGCTTAACAAAACCAGGAATGAAGAAGTGAAATGCACACAGAGAATAGCACAAACCCAGCCATGGCAGCATCCAGCAGGTCGGTCACCCCTGCATCCCCTCCCCTGATTTTGCTCCCACACTGACCAGCCACAGCAGCTTCAACCCATCCCATTCCAAATTAATGCCTGTGAGCTCTGAACATCTTGAATTTTAAGGGAATAAATGACACCTGATTCCATTTTCTTCATGATGGAAAAAGCCCATTCTTTATTCACATAACTCAGTTTTATCCAGTTTTACAGAGCTCATGTGTGTCTCATTGGTTAGAAGCTTCCTTGCCAATTATTAATTAGTAACAAGTTGTTATTCTGCATTAATTGGTCACTCAAACCCCCCGGGGTGTATATGCAGGGACAGTTGTTTGTGAGAGATGTTTTTACACCATTAGATAGAAAAATGAAAACCAGTTTATACAAGGGCTGGTTGTTTTTACCCAGGAATAGATTGTTATGTTAACAAACTGCTCACACCAGGATTGCTTTCACATGGGAACTTGCAAAGGGCCAGCTTGACAAGGCCAGCCACCGATTCCAGGAGAGCAGGCTTGCTTTTATGATTTCTTTATGATTTTTCTATCTTATTGCAACAAATTTTTCCAATCACAGGACCTCGAGGTGACCCAGAAATTGGAACCAGACAGCTCCTGGCTGGGCAGGGCCTCAGCTCCCCGAGCAGCCCTTCAGGGAGGCCTCAAACCTGTTTTATACCCAGAGTATTCTGCAGCAAGAAGTAACACAGCTCTGGAGAAGGGATGATAATATCCAGGAGTGGCAGGAAACATGGAAGGGAGAAGGGGAAATTGAGCTCCTTACAAGCAGCTACAGAGCTTTTGCCTTCCAGCACTTCCCTTTCCCAGTCTATTGCCTTAAAAAAGCTGCTTGGGAAACTCTCCTCAAGCCATTCCCTCTGCCAGGTAGGAAGACGTGGAAATGGGTTGGTTAATGCCTCCTAATTTCACCCATAAGAAATGTCAGCCCAAGGAGGCCCCCACCCAAGAGCAGCACATTCAGTCCCTGACCCACAGCTCAGGCATTTGGACAGAGAACAGCAGGAGGGAAGGAAGAACAGCAGCAGGACATGAAGGTGAGAATGAAATAATGAAAACGTTACAAAAACTGGCAGAGGGATGTGGTGGCATCCAAAAGTGGAACAAGAAGGAGGTGCCCCTGTGAGTGCATTTAAAGTTTAAATCAGCCCAGAGTGAGCAGGCACAGGGCAGGGTGAGCAATCACCAGGGCAACAATTAGCAGAATTAAGGAGCACTGCAGCATTGCCCAGGGCTGCTGAGAGCAGAGGAGCTGCCCCAAGGCACAGCTTCCCTGCCAAGGCGTTGGCTTGGGGTTGTCACATCGCCAACACATTTCTCACCTCTATCCAAAACTCTTCAAAATAAGCATGGAGAATCATCTGAGCTTGGAGACAATGAAGAACAGCCTGGATATTTAACCAGAGCTCAGAGGAGCTTCAGCCTTAAACACTGCAGGAAGCCAGTCCATTCATCATTCCCAGCTTCTTCCCACCTTTATCCCCTTCTGTTTCTACAGCATGGATGAGAGCAGATCAAAGTTAAAAGTCAAACTCTTCCCATGTGCAGCTGCTCTGAGTTCTCCTTTCCAGTTTGGTGTAAGAAGTCTCCACGGCTCCCTGGATCTTTGGATGCTAAACAGTAAAATGGGGAGAGGCTTCCACTTCTCAAACTCTGCTTGAGAAGCCTCCTCTTTTCAAGCTGCCACAGGAAGGGCCTTTCAGCCTGTGGCAGCTCTTCTGCTCCAGTCTCTGTAGCTGTTTGGAGGCTTTTTTAGCTTTACAGGAGCTGGGCTGTTCATCACCAGCTCCAGCACAGGGAGATTCCAGCCACACACAGCACTGGAGTTCCCAGAGGCTCCCACGAGCTGTGGGCTCTGGCAGCCAGGAATGTTCTCAGTAAACAGATTTAATGGCCATGCAAGAACACATCCCCCTGATCCATGGGCAGGAGCAGCAGGATTTGCTGGGCTAAGCATTATGTTAGCACGGCTCAGAAGTGCTGGACTAGCAAATCAATATCAAGTGTGGGAACGCCCAGCAATTCCTTAAAATTCCCTTTTATAATCAGGCAAGTTTAAATTTCAGCCATTCCTAGGCGGTAAGAGACAACTTTGCTATTGAGAGGAATGACAGATTTGTCTTTACAATCCAACTGTGGGTCTGCTGGTAGATAAAAAACAGCACTGGGAGATAAAAGAAACAATGGGAAGGATTCCACTGATTGATGAATGGAAAAAGATATTTGCCTTTAGAAACAAACTTTAGGTTTGCTGATAAATGAAATTAAACATTGAAAGATGAAAGAAACAATGGGGGGAAACCCTAAATTCCATGAGAATTAACAATCAAAAGGGAGGGTTATACATTAGAGGCAAGTCCTGGTATCAGGTGTTTTGGGAAGTCTGTACCTCTCACATACCTCAGCCAATGGGGAAAGAGAGAAGGGAAATGTGGCTGGGAAATTGGGATAAAAAGGAGGCTGCATCCTCCAAAACTTGGAGAGAGCCCAGAGGAATGCCCCATGGCCTCTCCCTTATTGGAATAAAGCAGAAGGACTCCTCGGTCTCCTTTTTGAGCACAAACCTCTGATGGTTGTGGATTAAATTTCCCAGCACTATGAAGAAGACAGCACACATTTATTTCCCACCAAGCAGCAGGACTGCCTGCAATAGTTCCAATATCCCCAATTCCCACTCCCCAAGTCCAGCAGGAGTTACAGGAGACAGATCTGTTGAGCTTTTCTGCAGAGAGAATTCCCTCTGCAGCTGAGAGCACACAGTGCAGGGATGACCCCTGCAATTCCTCTCTCACATCTCAGCATCACCTGGCAACTTAAACTGCCTGATTATTTTGCCTTCAGCACAAACTGGTTGCTGCATGAGGAAGACCCTTGTCTGGTACATGCTGAGCTCAGGGAATCAGGATCCAAATTCCTCCGTGAGGGGGGTGTGCTGCATGAAGGAATAATTGCTGCCCAAACCCAGAGCCTCAGCAGAAAGCCTTTACACACAGGGCTGAGGATGAGGAGTGCTGCTGGAAAAGTGGTCACTTCTAAGTGAGAGAGGAGCAACTTCCACCTCTTCAAGCCTGCAGTCACCACCCAAAGAAAGCCCCATCCCCAGTCCCTGTCTCTGACCCCCATGAAACAACTAACTTTAATTACCTTTAAATAAAAAAAATTAAAAAAAAACCACTCTGGAAGAAGCAGTACTCACATGAGAGCAGATTCCAATTCTGGTCTTGAAGACAGAGAAATGAGAGGCCAGGAGCAGAGTTTTCCTGTCTGAAGGCAGAAGGATGGGAAGGCAGGAGCAGGGCTTTTCCTCTCCAGGTCCCACAGGCACCTGGTCCATCAGCCCAGCCCACAGCATTGCCTGGCCAGTCTGAAGGTGTTGGGCTCCCCAGCCTCTTCCAAAAGGAGCTGGGTGTGGCCCTGGCAGAGTCTGAGCTCCCCAGAAACCCTGTGCTGGCAGCAGGTGTCTGTCACCCACAGCCTGCCCCCCAGCACTGAGCCACAGCCCCCTCACCAACCTGCTCAGGCAGCAGCAGGGAAATGCAGGAGGAGAATCTGGCCTTGGAGGAGCAATGCCAAGGGATGCCCTGACAGCTCTCCCAAGCACAGGGCAGTGCCACCAGGGCATGTGTTTGCTCCAGGCTTGGGAGAGAGAAGGAATTACAACTCACCAGCTGTGATCCTTCCTGTCCTGCTCACTGCTCTTCCTCCAGCCCTGAATGCACAGTGGAATTCCATCAAGGAAGAAGTGGAAGAGCACAGCTCACACCCACTGAGCAATCCTCCCAGTCTTTGCCCCAGAGATCCCAGAGACAGGGTTTTGTATGCAGCAGTTTTATCTTAAGCAGTTATCACCCAGTACAAGCAGCTTTTAGGAAGACAATTCTTTCCACTTTCCCCTTACTGAGGGTTTAATGCCAACAGCCATTATTGTTTTATCCTTTACATGGAGGTGCTGGAGGTTTCCAGGTGCCCAGCTCCTGCTGCCCCTGCCTCCTCCTGGGAGGATTGATCCTCCTCCTCCTCCCTGGGGAAGAAGGGTCCCACCAGCCAGGACAGACGAGTGTTGTTCTTCAGGTAATCCAGCAGCTCCTCCATGTGCTCCTGGATCACAGCCAGCTCGCTCTGGCTCAGGACACTGCTGGACAAATCCTGGAAGGAGTTGGCCTTTGAGAAAGCAGCATGCAGCTCCTGGATGGCAGCCAGAGCCTGCTTCAGCTTGTGCTGCAGGCTGCAGGGGAGCCCTGCATGGCAGCCACCACCCCAGAGCAGGAGAGCTGCAGCTGCTGGCCAATCCTGCGAGCCATCAGCAGTATCAGACACTCCATCTCCTGCGGGGAGGCAGGAAGGACACCATCAGCAATGAGGCACTCAAAAACCCAGGGGAGCCCTTTGCCTCCCTCCCCAGGAGGTACATCTGGCTCCACAGGGCTTTCATCGATCCTGCGAGCCATCAGCAGCATCAGACACTCCATCTCCTGCGGGGGGAGGCAGGAAGGACACCATCAGCAATAAGGCACTCAAAAACCCAGGGGAGCCCTTTGCCTCCCTCCCCAGGAGGTACATCTGGCTCCACAGGGCTTTCATCTCCACTCTCTCTGAGATACTTCCTACTCCAGTCTAGCCACATCTGGTGTAGTTTCTCCTGCTCCTCCTGAAGCTTTTGATTAAATCCTTGCTTAAACGCCTCAGCCTGTGGCAGGGGAAGAGCAGAGAGCCAGGACAGACAGATCAGCTGGAACTGCAAAGCTCCTCAGCACAGCAACAAAGCTGAGACAAGACCAGGGCTTTGGTTCCCTGCTCTACCTACCAGCTCGAGGATGCAGAGGAGCTGTGCCAGGGCCCCCTGCGTGCCCTGCCAGAGCTGCTTGATCCTGGCTGTGGCGTGCAGCTGGGCAGAGAGGCGCAGTTCCTGCCAGAGAGAGCCCAGGCGCACAAGGTACCTCCTGTGCTGCGGCAGGGGCACGGCCGTGCCCTCCTCACACTCTGCCAGCTGGGCTGGGGACACAGCCAGTGCCCGGGGCAGAGGTGCCACAGGTGCCCAGAGCAGCTGGGGCTGCCCCCAGATCCCTGGCAGTGCCCAAGGCCAGGCTGGACAGGGCTTGGAGCAGCCTGGGATGGTGGAAGGTGTCCCTGCCATGGTGAGAAGCCCAAAATGAGCTTTAAGGTGCTTTCCAACCCAAAGCATTTTGGCATTCTCTCTTCCCATTATCCCCATTGCAGAGTAGGGGAGTGAGGAATGGGGCTGACCATCCCCAGTCCCACCTCCATAGCCACAGCCACCTTTCCTTACCTAGCTCCTCATTTCCAATGGGGAGAGAGCCACCTTCTGCTGTCCCCAGCACAGCCTCTGCTCCACAGACACCCCTCTGTCCCTCTGCAGGCCCCAGCCCAGCAGCGCTGGTCACTGCAGGTGTGGCAGCCCCCTCACTGCCCTGCAGAGCGTCCCTGGTGACATCCAGCACCTCCAGCACTCTGCTGCTCACAGCCTCCTTCACCTCAGCTACTCTGGCTGACAGCAGCTCCTTTGTGTCAGAGAGAATCTGGGGAACAGGGGGAATGGCAGGTAATGGAGTGGGTTGTGTCTCACACTGAAATTCTGAACTGCACCAAGAGGACAAATAGCACAGTGTCAGTTCAGTTTACTCAGGTGTGTGAGCCTACATCCCACCCTAGCTCAGAAATCCCACAAGAACCAGGGCCCTCTGTCTGCCAGGGACAGCACAGCCTTTAATTCTTACCTGTCCCACTGGCTTTGGAAGGAGTGGCAGCTTCTCCCCCAGTTTATCCAAACCCCTGGCAGCATACTCACTCACTGCAGCAACTGAAGAGAGAACCAAAAAAAAAGAAAAAAAAATAATCACAACGAGATTTTCTGCAAGTTCCACCTTGCAAAAATCAGTTTTAGGAAAATCAGCACCAGAGTCCAGCCCTGACTCTCCCTCCCACTGCTGGGATTCGGGCCCAGCTTTAGCCTGATTTACAAGCCATGGGCTGTCCTTGCACTATGGCAATGGAGAGGTGCATTTCCTCGCCCCAGGACTCCTGCAGGTGTGAAGGAGCCAGAGAGCCCCTCCCAGGCAGGGATTTACCGTGGGGCTGCACACAGCTGGCCTGGTCACACCGAGCACCCCCTGCCCTGCAGCAGCACACTCACACCTGCGCAGGGCTGCCTTGCTGGAGGCACGAGCTGCAGAAAGCACACCACAGACACAGCTCAGCAGGCTCAGACTGGCCACCTCCTTCACTGCAGCCTGGAAGAGCAAAGGAAAGCACAGCCATGAAGCTCCCAATGTGGCCCCGAGTGCTTCTGCCCTGGAATCGCCACCAAACCACCTACTCTGCCTGAGAGAGAAACTCTTGCCTTGCTCACACACCTAATTAAACCATAACTCAGTTGTGACATGAGCTGGAGAGCTTTGGCACAAATGATTAGCCATTCCAGGAATTTTTTTCTCTAGCACAAAAAACAACCAAGTTTGGAGGTGACCTTAATTCTCCATCTCCAATTTACCTGGAATGCTATTACCAATAGCTATTTTCCAAGTAAGCCAATATCCCAAGAAAGGCAGGACTGAGTTGGTTTTAAGCTGACAGACTTGGCCACAGAGCAAGAGCAGCAGGTCTCAGGGAGGCTGAAACATTGCAGTCTTTCCGTGGGAGCCCTGGCTTGCCAGGAGCCAGGATCTTGAGTTAGAGAAACATCTTTTCTAGCCAAGAACCAGCTAATTTTGCTGAGCCTAAGAGGTTACAGGGACTTCAGGTCCATATCTTTGTGCTGTCTCCCAGAAGCTGCAGGATGCAGCCTGAGCAGAGGAAACTCCCATTTTGGGGGCTCAGCTCCCCTCAGCCACAGCAGGGCCACCTCCTCACCCTGCACCCCAGAGCTGTCCCTCCTCACATCCCACAGGGAGCACCAGCCTCCTGCTCCTCCTCCTTCTCCACCTCTGGGGAGCTCTGGGCAACCTCCTCCTTGTGGGGCAAGGCAGAGGCCATGGCAGCTGGAATGCAAGGAACACCAAGGCTTTGGGGAAAGATCCCCCTCCAAGGGGACACCTCCCTCCAGGATCATAAAAGAGAGAAGTTCCTTTACTGCCTGTCCAGGGGAAACCCCAAAACAGCCTCAGAGGAGAGGGTCTGTGCCACTTGCAAAATCCACCCAGTTTAAGCTGAAGTTCCAGGTGGTTTGTGATAATCAAAGGAATAAGGAAAGCATTCTTTCCTCACCCTAGAGACCAAATATTATTAATATATTTATATTAGAGTGAGGCACAAGGCACTTCCTTCCTCTGGTGCCTTAGGATTTGAGCTTTTCTATTTTACGTATATTTGCAACCCTGCAATTCTTCAGTGTATAACTAAATCCCACACACAGTGTGAGCTGCTGCTTTTCCAGTTTGGGCAGACACAACAATTCCTCTCCAGGCTGGCAATCAAGGACACTTCAATGCCTCAGGGCCAGAGATGGAAACAAAATGAGTTGGGGAGGAGCAAACTTGGGGTAAATGACTTCATTAGCTGAAGCTGTAATTGGAAGATGAACCCCCAATATGCAAATGGACCCACCTTATAAAAATGTGAAACCTGTGGGTCATTTTTTGGGTGGACCTGGGGGGGCTTTATCTGCCCAAAGTGTACCTGAAGACCCCCCAATAAATATAACTGCTTTTTTACTCCGTCAATAAATATAACTGCTTTTTTACCCTCTCAATTTAGGTACCCCCAGAAAAGGCATCACCTCCCCACCAAGGCTTCAAGAAACTCTTGACTAAAAGAAACAACAGCAGCAGAACTGAGGGAAAACAGAGCTCAAGGGTCTGCCCTGTTGCTGCCACACCCCAACACCTGAACAGTCCCCCTGGAAGCTCCAGAACAGCGCCTGTGTTACCTGCTGGAGGTGAGCAGAGCAGCAGCAAGAATGAACCCAACACACTCCATCACCCCTCCTGCCTTTTGGTGGTGCCTGGGATGGGGCAAGGCGGGACCCTCAGGGACTGACAGCTCTGGGAAGCAGCAGGAAGGAGCCAGGCCCTGCCCTGGCCAGTCAGAGGGGAACAGGGCTGCTGGGGCACCTTAATTACTGTTAATTACTGTTAATTACTCTGCAGTTAGGCAGGCACATCTTGTCCTGTGTGAAGCAGCTTCACTTGGAGGCCTCCACTTCATCAGCAGTGACCATGGGAATGTGTCTAGTAAGCTTTCTGCTTTGTGATGTTACACACTTTTATTTAAACTATACGTGCTAATCTCAGTGCTATTAATTAATTTTGGATTAATTCTTTACAGCTTTAGGTTAAATACAGTGGATTTGTGCTTTTCATCCCAGAAAGTTTAAAATTCTCAACAGATAGGGGTCCAGCAGGAATGTGTGAAAGCAGTTTCCTATTCCTGCATGAATGATATTTAATGATTAATCATGTTACTAGATCAGGGATGAGCAACAAGATTTCAGGTAATTTAAGGGGAGCCTAATCTCTAGGTTTGTCTGAGGTGCCACAAGCCTTTGCTAAGCATGTTTAGTGCTTTCTGACCAGTTGTCTACAGTTCTCCTTTTGGATTCTGAATCTCCCTGGATTCTGAACATTGCAAGTAATCAAACTTATTTATTTATTTATTAAAATGGTTTTTCTGATGGCAGACACTAAGTACCAAAGATCATCATATTTACACTAAATAGATGGCATTTTCTGTGCTTTCTAAGGCACACCTTAATGGTAAACTCAGTGCTAGGAAAAGTAAAACAAAAAACACTTTGGAATGGCCCTGGCTGCACAAAGATCATGGTCTCGTGCAGTTCTCTGAGTGATGAGCCTGGCTGACTGTGAGGCTGCCAAACAAACTGTGTGAATGGCCAGGAGCTGCTGCTGGAGGCTCACCCAGGCAATCTGGGGGTTTTTCACACTGCCTGGTATCTGCCGGGTACCTGATGCCGATTCCCGATCTCTGGGCCTCAGGCTGGGCCCTCCCTGGGGGCTCCCCTGTCGGGGGAGACCCTCCTGGGGTGGTTTTGTGTCAGGAAGGAGAGACACACTGGATTTTTTGGTCTTCAGGTTCTTGTTTATTATTATCTTATCTAAAGTTTTGCACGCTGTCCACACCAGGCTCAGCACACTGGAAAAGCACCACAGAAAGGGCCAAGAATCTCTTGTTACCAGGTCTGTCTATTTATTATCTATCTACTAAGCTATCCAAGTAAGAACCGACACCTGGATTATTTTCCCTTTTAACACGATAACTGATCCCAAAGAGCCCACAATACAGACTGTTCTGCCCAATTACAGAATGCCACCCAAACCCATGAAGAAGAAGAAGTGTGAAGAAGAAACCCAGGACAACGCCCTGTGCCTCCATCTTGCTTCCATCCACAACACACTAAAAATCCCAAACCCTAAATTTCTCACCAAGTGATATACTGACACTGCTCTCTACAATCTATTTCACTTTTTTCACTCTAATCTATCTCGAAGTCTAGGAAACTTTCTCCATTGATAAGGGTCAAAGTCAGTGTTCCCCTGCGGGTCAGGGCACCCCAGAGCAGACAGAAAAATATTCCCAGTGCCCTGGGTTCCCACAGGTATCAGGGCTCAGTATTCCCACAACAGAGGCCAGCAGAGCAATCAGTGAAATGTCTCTGTGTGTTCCCTGGGCTCTGTGCTGCAATAGAGGAAAATACCCTCCAAGCAGCCCCTGCCCTCCAGACCCACCCTGGGGCAGTGCTGAAGTCCTGCAGGAGGATCCCTCAGCCCAGGAGGGAGGAGCACTGGTTGTGCTTCGCCTCGAAGTTTGTCCCTCTGCTTTGGGCTGTGACAGCAACAGCCCTGGAATGTGTCACCCTCCTGCATAGAGCTCCCAGGGCTCCTGTAAGGCTTTGGATGACCATGCTCGTGGTGCTTGCCACCTCCTACAGGGACAAAAAGGTCCTTGGTGGCCTGAGGTGTGTCCCTCTGCCTGCAGCAGTAACAGCGCTGAGTTTCACCAGGGGAGGTTTAGGTTGGATGTTGGGAGGAATTTCCTCACCCAAAGGCTGGTCAGGCATTAGAACAGCTGCCCAGGGCACTGGTGGCATCACCATCCCTGGAAGTGCTCCAAACATCTGTGGGTGTGTGTTGGATTCAGCCCTTTCCTGACACAGAGATGGGGCAACCGAGAGATGTTTTAAAAACTTTTATTCTATTTTCAGTCTCATGTGAAGAGTGAGACAATACAGATGTTATAACTCACACCATCACAATCAGAAGCCAACTATTTCCTAATTACAATACATTATAAGTATTTCTTGGTCTATCGGCTTTTGCCACACCACGCTGTAGATGCCTTAAAGCCAATCATCTAAAAATACCCCTTGTGGGTCCTACTACAGGGCATCTTTCATAGCTCTATTTCTCCAAAGTATCTAGAATTATTTGCAAGGAGCTTGGGGACATGGTTTTGTGCAGTGCTGGGGTTGGACTTGATGATCTGTAGTGCCTTTTCCAACCATAATAATGCCATGATCCCATGCTTCTGATTCCATCTTCTGAGGATGTTTACATGGGACATTGGATTTTGAACCTGTTGAAATGGGAGCTACCATATTCCAAAGGGTGAACTTTATCTGGCTCATCAGCACAGCACAAACCATCACCCCGAGGCTGCCAGAGCTCCAGGAGTGTTTGGACAGCACTGCCAGGGATGCTCAGGGTGGGGTTGTTGGGGTCTCTGTTCAGGAGCTGGACTCCATGATCCTTGCGGGTCCCTTCCAGCTGAGGATATTCCACGATCCTATGAAAGAAAAAGGACATGGGAAGAGGCCAAATAGGCATTGGCTGCACCTTTTCCCCACAATCCACCCAGTTTCAGCCAAATTCTCAGTTTGGCTCTCTCCTGGGTCTCTCAGCAGCTGCAGCCTCCTCAGGGATGCTGTGTGTGGGTGAGGCTGGGGTGTTCCCATTGCTGGGACCACCCAAGGCAGGGGCAGGCAGAGGGAGGTGCTGTGGGGCTGGGAAGGGCACAAGTGTGTGTGAATCCTGCACAGACCTGACAGGAGGTGACTCCACAGGTCCTGGCAGCTTTGGTGCTGGTGACTCCAGCAGCTGGGTCAGTCCCAGAGGTGCCAGCTCAGTGTGTGCTGTGAATTCATCCCCCTTCCTGTGCTGATGGCTGCACTGGTGTCTGAAGGCCACAGAGCTCCTGTGGAAGAGCAGGAGCACAGCCTGTGGATGCTGTATCCATGACAACAGCTCCTTCCAGCCACCCCAGCCAGCTGACAGCAATTCCAAGTGGCCATCCCAGTGCTGATGGTGGGAATGGGGCTGGAGCACTGGACTGTAGGACTGAGTCCCCAGCCCTGCCAGCTACATGTGGGGTGACTTTGTCTGAGGGTGTTGGGTTTTGTGTCTCAGTTTGTAAATTATGTCCATGATTTTGACCTTTTTCCACAACAGGCTTTGGGATCAGCTGCAGCAAAGTGCCAAGTGAGAGCTGGGGTTACTGAGCACGTCCTGCTCAAGTCACAGCCCCCTAGGCCAGGGAAATAAGATTTTCCCAGAGCAGATCTGGCCAGCACAAGTTGCCAAATCCTTGGTTTTGCTCCCCTCTGGGAGGAAGAAGCACATCCAGTCTCTGATGTGGCAGAGTTCTTGTGCAGGAGCTGCAGTCGAGGTGAGAGCAGGGATGCCAGGAGGTCAGGCTGGGCTCTGCTCTCCAGCCCAGCCAGCCCCTCCTCCAGACACCTGGAGGAAACGCATCCAGCAAGGGCATGGAAGCTTCTGGAGTGGCTCCAGAGCATGCACAGAGGTGATCAGAGGGATGGAGCAGCTCTGCTCTGAGGTAAGGCTGAGAGAGCTGGGGACGTTCAGCCTGGAAAAGAGAGGGCTCTGGGGTGATCTAATTCCAGCCTTGCAGTGCCTGAAGGAGCCAACAGGAAAAATGGAGAGAAACTATTGACAAGGGCCTGGAGTGACAGGACAAGGGGGAATGGCTTCAGTCTGCAGGGGAGTGGGTTTGGGTTGGATATT